ATCAGACTGCATTTGAAGGGCTTCAAAAACAAAACAAGGCCTCGTCTCCCTGAACGCCGCACAACTGACCCTTTGCACCAAACATGGGACATTGAAAGGTGGAAGAAAGTTTTATTGTCTGATGAGAAAAAACGTAACCTTGATGGTCCTGATGGTTTCCAACGTGACTGGGACGACAAGCAGATCCCACCTGAGATGTTTTCTACACGCCACAGTGGACGGCGGCGCCATAATGGTCTGGGGTGATTTTCCTTCAGTGGAACAATGGAGTTCAGGGCTGCAGGAGCGTCAAACGGCCACTGGCTATGTCCAGATGTTGCAGAGCATCCCTCATGACTGAGGGCCCTCGTCTGTGTGGTAACATCTGGGTTTTTCAAAAGGACAGTGCTCCAGTGCACAATCCCTGCCGGACAAGGGACTTCTTCCAGGAGAATAACATCACCCTGCACGTTCCCCTCATCTAAATCCAACTGAGAACAGTAGATGCCCTTCGTCCGGCCGTCTTCACCACTTGGAGAAAAGTTCCCACTCACTTCATGGAAAAGCTTGCATCAAGCATGCCGCAACAAATTTCCGAGTGCTCAACAATAACGGTGGAGCGACTCATTACAGAGCTCATGTTTGGAACTTTGATTTCTGTTTTGGGGGGGCTTACAGGTTCTTTGGAGGTGTGGGCCTAACCTTTCGATCAGCTGTAAAACAGCCTGTTCCAGTTTTAGTGTTGTTGCATGCTCAAAAAATGCTTTGCTCACTCCCATTTCTTCTTGTTGCACGTTGAAGCTCTACTTGGAACCTTGTTAAGATCCAACCATGCAAAATATGATTTTTGGCCATTTCTCAAGTGGTCTTGAACTTTTGATGGGGACTGTACTAACTAAATGGAAAAATATGCAAATAAAAATAACAGAAGAATGAGAAGACTTGCTGTGTACATTTGAAATAAAATACTTGAATTATACTTCAATCATAAAGGGTTCGCCTGAGCTTCATTTTCCCTATTTTGTAACTTCTTTTGCAAATCCTTATAAATGCACCTACTGGTGTGTAGCAGTTTGATGTTTTAGCCACACAACAAACAAAGCAAAAAGCCACAGACAGGAAGGTGGCTGTCAGTGAAAGAAGGAAGCAAGAGCAGAGAGCAGCATGGATAGATGGATGGAAAGACAGACATGATGAATCCTAGGAGGCCCAGAGGGGTCAAAGCCTTGTGCTGTTGGCATTGCTCTTATGTTGACTGATGTTTGCAAGCACCTTCACTGTCAATACACACACAAAAAACACACAAGAAAGAAAAAGACAACAATGAGAGCAAATTAAAAAGCCAGTTAATATTCACAATGATGCCACAGTAGATACTGCTGCACATCTGCAACATTTACAGATCCACTCACACGTATGCACAGGTACAGTATCTGTGTAACCACACAAACCTCAGCTGTCATTCACATTAATGGTAAAAGTTTAATGCTTGTTCTTTTTTTTCAAGTGGGGAGGGGGGTAAATTGTCAGATGCTTTTGTTTTTTGTGACTTTTGTTAGGACATGACTCATCACCCTGACAACTTTACATGGATAGAGATTTTAAGCCAAAACATGATCTTTTCCTGACATTTTCTCACTTTTTGTAAACAAGGAAAATCAAAAAATGATACCAGAGTGATTGCAAAAATAATTCCACACCTACACGCTTTGGTGAAAGTACAGTAATTATGCTGTTATTGTTATTTAGATAATCTCTACACAGAAAAACCCGTACACAACCTGTGAACCTTAAGGGATGTTCCCAAGTAGGTCACCATCCAAAGTAATGAGTAGATGGTCCTATTTGCCTCACTCAAAGACTGTTTTCATTTTATTCTGCTAACAGTGAAACATTAGTGTAGGCTCACCTTACATCTGAGTTAAAGGTGTGAGACTGTCAGCAGAACTTATAACTTCATAACTGGTATGAATGCAATTTGTACACTGGCTGTTTTATGTGTAGGTCACAGGTTGGACTGTCATGGCCCTGGGTCATGTGACCCAGTATTCTGAGTTTCTTGGTGTTTTATTCTTTTTAGTCTAATTTCATTTTGGTTTATCTAGTTACATTCTGCCATGTTTCATGTCCAAGTTTTCTTTGTTTGTCAAGTTCATGTCATGTCTGGATCTCCTTATGTTTCCTGTTTTATTTTGAAAGAGTTTAGTTTCACGTGTCCTGTCATTGTGTTAGTTGTTGTCAGCTGTTTTCATGTGATTCTACTTCCTTTGATCATTCCTTATGTGTATTTAGACTGTGTGTTTCCACTCAGTCAGTGTCAGATCGTCTGTTAACCTCACCACAGTTTTCATAGGTTTACTCCATTGTTTCTCTGTGTTTTCTAGTTGACTCAGTGTTCACAGTTTGTCATAGTTTTTCACTGAGTGTCACAGCCTTTTTGTTAACACAGTGTTCATAGCCTCCTTAGTTTCCCTAGTTCCTTGTTTTTTCTTCAGCAATCAGCCAATAAAGGCTCGCTTTGTTTTTGAAACTACGTTTTGTCTCCACATCCTGCGTCTGGGTCTACCTCTTTCCTTTCCCGCGCACCCCGCCGTGACATAGACTCTCTGTTGCCTTCAGAATTGCCTCAATTCTTCATGGCATAGATTCAACAAGTTGCCGGAAACATTCCTCACGATACGTGGGTCCCATTCTACCACATCCTATATGTGCTCTATAGATTGAGATCTGAGAATACATTCAAATCACCTTTCGTCCGATGCTCAGCAGGACATCTTGACCATGTCTACATGAACTGAGTTGCTCCTGTGTGATTATCTGGTTAGATATTTGCAAGTTGAACAAGTATACCTAATAAATTGGTTGGTAAACATATATGAAATAAGTGGTTTGTTTTCTGACTCACGATCAAACATATTAATGTGTCACACAATTAACATCAGTGGATACTCGTCTGAGAGGGGCTTAAGAACACACATGAATAAGGACCTTAAAATGAACAGTTTGTGTAATAGTAACTGTTAAAAAAGGCAACGTGCTTTCACTTTGCAATCTTGTAAACCCTGGACAGATTAAATCAAGTCTAAGAAACAGATACTGATTGTCACACTGAATATTGTTTCATTTTTATCTGACTGTGTTTGCTCATGTTCAGTATTTAAGCCTTCCAACAACTTTGCACATTGATGTCACTAAGCAGTCTGACATCATCACACTCCTGTGAGTTCAACAGTTAGATGCTTAAAACAAACAGATACAGCAATATTTAACTTTTTGGATCTTCAACAATCATATAATCATGACTTTTTTACAGAACATGACAATAACAAGGACTGAACTATCATAGAGCCAGATGGTTTTTTATTTACAGTCCTGAGGGAGACAGTTGTTTTAGTGTTGCTTACTTTTCTCTGATGTCAAAGCAAAGTTTTTATATTATTATTATTATTATTATTTTTAAATCATTAAGTCGGACATGAAGTCTGACAGAGTCACATGACGTTTGATTTAGGCTATAACAGAGTCACTAGAAGGTTATCTGTAGCTTTCAGTCATTTGAGAGTTATGGAAAACTGCTTGCTCTAAGATTCTGTGTTGTCATGACTTAAACCTTTATTTTCAATATTTACACTTAGTTTAAGGTTAATTATTTTAATTTAATGCAGGTATCATGTCAAGTCTAGTGTATTGTGTATATATTAGGGGTTGGGAAAAAATTGATACTGTGTAGCATCGTGATATTTTGTTTGCTAATAATGTATCGATACAAAAACAGCAGAAATCGATATTTTGTTACAAAAAACGTGGACTGGAACTCTGACTTCAGAGCATGTTGATCCTTTTTCTGAGCAAGAATCCTGACATTCCTTCACTGTCCAAATGTGTTTAACTTGTTTTTGGCAGCAATAAACATGACAGTTTACTTATTTTAATTTAAGACATGTTTTATTTTAATTAAGTTTAAAACTTTTTTATTTAATGTAAAATTATATTTTGTTTTAATTGACTTTCAAATTCTTCAGTTGCTGAAGGGGCTGCATAGTTTTCATAAACTGCATAGTTCAGAATAGCTATAATTGTACCAGATGGTTGTTCAGTTAAGTTGGACTAGACTGTAATACAAACCGTTCAGTTTGTCAACAATAAAACTGAAATGAGAGAAAGACTGAGTGTGAGACTTTGATATTAGAGAAAATGAATATTGATAAAGTTTACCTTTATGTATAGAATCTGAATATCGCAAAATATTTTAAAAAATTGCAATAATATCGTATCGTGGGTTAAGTATCGTGATAATATCGTATCGTGGGATGTATGGTGATTCCCACCTCTAGTATATATCAACTGAACTTGTGTATAACTGACTTAAATAGTATTTAAATATATAAATAAATAGAATAAATGCATTATTATTATTATTATTATTATTATTATTATTATTGGAATTTCTTTAAAGATAATTATCCTCTCAAAAAAGGTCAAAATCATGATGTGTAGCCACACATATTAGTTTTAGGAATGTTTTGAGCAGGAATCTTCGACCTCTAATGTGTCAGCAGTGAACGCTTAAAAAGGTTTGAAGGTCATCTTTTGGCAAGTAATGCAGTGAAAGAGCTGGATCAGCAATCATGTAGCCAGTGGATGATGGAAGTTTGTGAGTGTACCTTTCTGTCTGGGGGATCCAAGGGCCGCCAGTTGTTGGCTCTGAGCTGGTGAAGCTCATCAAATTTGAGGCTTATGTTCTCGATCGACAACTGAAGCATATCCCAAAAACCGGCCAGATCTGAGGCTACTGGACGAGGGTGGGCTTTGGGGTTCTATGACAGTAGATACGCAGGAAGAATAGAAAAAAACAAGAAAATGAATAAAAAGTTGTTATACACACTCTCATGTTAAACTTTGTATATATAGTATCTCAAAAAACTTGTCTGTGAATTCTCATTTATTCTCATTCTTTTCAATTCTTACTTTATTTCTATTCAAGTACAACACTGAAGTACTTATTCTTAGTTTATCTTATTTCTGGATGGTTGTATATATGTATATATTTTTCATTTTTATTTTATTATTTTTACCCACATTTGATCCAGGAGGACAATATTTCATCCCACCGCATACTTGAGCGTATATATTGTTGGGCTGACAATAAAACACTACTTGACTTGACTTGAAATAGTAAAAGATACTGGTAGATAAAACTTTATTAATCCCTCGGGTGGGTTCCTCTGGGAAATTTGTTTTCCAAAAAGCACAGCACCGATGGTATGCAGTTATAGAAATATATGATGACATTTTGTATGATAAGCACCATTTGCCATTACTAATATTTTATTACATTCAGTTGATCAGTCAATCAAATATTCACTGTATAATCAAAGTAAAGGTTTTTTCTTCAGTAAATGAAACAATTTAAAAGGTTAAACATTAGAAAACACAAGCAAAATATTGGAAACATTGAAATTAAAAAGCTAATTAAAAGGAAAAGGAAGACATGAAATATTTTTTAAAAAAATATTTAGTTAGGCTTAAGTCTGCTACACAGAAACACAAAACTCCCCACTGCTTCAGACTCACCAGGTTCTCCTCACACAGCTCCCTGAACTGCTCAAACTTCTGGGACATCAGAAGCTGAGCACTTCCCATAGCACTTCTCATCTTCTCTAGGACTATAAGCACAGACACAGAGCTTAGAAAGAGACTCTTCTAGATATCGATCTGTTCTGAACATGCACATACTACAACATCACTGATTGGCAACTAACACATTTATTTAAGCCTCGGGAGCTTTTCTGAGAGCTTGGCAACATTTGAACCTACTCTGATTGTGGGTGTAGACCTGTCCCATTAAATGCTGTTGCTCTTGATGCTCTTGATGCTCAATTTTATGACTGTTTGAATTTGTTTTACATACCAGAGCTGACTACCTGGTCACACACAATCCTGAGGACTATATTATTATTTACAATAGTGTAAAATTAGAATATCTTGGAACCAGAAAAGTAAACTGTCACATAAACTACATTCATTACACACAAAGTACAATATAGTCATTGCATCAATGGCTAACAATAACCATAATAATTATAATATATATATACAATATATTTACACTACCGGACAAAAGTTTTGGAATACTTTTCCAATGTTTTTCTTGTAAATTATGCAGTTTAACGTCTAATTGCACTCTGAAATGAAAGCATGTCACAAATAAGCAATTGGAGTTAAAAATAATCATGGAATCAATTTATAGATCAAAGTGTATTCTAAACTTTTGACTCATCAAAGTAGCCACCTTTAGTAGATATAACAGCTGTACACACCCGTGGCATTCTTCCTACAACAGAAATCAAATATTCTTCAGAAAGTTCTTCCCATATCTGTTGAAGAAGTTCCCATAAATGTGGACCTTGTAGGTTGCTTTGCTTTCACACTTCTGTTCATCCCAAACCAGCTCGATGGGGTTTAAGTCCGGAGACAGAGACACTCCATGTTTTCAAGCTTACCATCTTGTTCTTTTTTCCTGAGGTAGCTCTGGCATAGCTTGGACTTATGTTTTGGTCCTTATCTTGTTGTAGGATGAACCCCTGACCAACTAGGTGCATACCAGAGGATCCTGCATGGGCCTGCAGAATGCTGTGGAGCTGTTTTGGTTCAGGGAGCCTCTCACTCTGTACAAGCTGCTGACCCTGGATCCAGCAAACAGACCCAGACCATCACACTTCCCCCTCCATGTTTGACAGTTGATGCCACACACTGTGGAACCATCCTTTCACCTCCTTGTTGGCGTACAAAAATCCTGCGTGGTGAACCGAAGAGTTCAAATTTTGCTTCATGGCATAATGGCGGTGTTTCATGGCCCAGGCACGTCTCTTTGTCTTCTGATGTCTTAGCGATGGCTTTCTTGCTGCAACTCGTCCTGTTAAACCTGCAGCTCGGATCCTTCTCTTCACAGTGGAAACTGAGACTTGCTTATTACGAACACTATTAAGCTGTTATTAAGCAACCTCAGTCCACCTCTTGTGAATCTCTCTCAAGTAATTGACACTTTTCTTGGCAATCTTCCCAAGGCTGCAGATGTCTCTATCACTTGTGCACCATTTGCTAGCAGACTGTTCCCTTCCATTAGTATGCTTCCATACAGCACTTTGTTAACAGCCAATCTTTTCAGCAGTGACCTTCTGCAGCTTTAGGACCCAATATATCTGTGAAGGTTCTCAGTCATCCAGGTCATCGTAGTCTAAGAAGCCTGCAAAGAAAAGCGTCTGGACTTCTTTAAGTTACTTGAAGACGTTTCACCTTCATCGGAGAAGCTTCTTCAGTTCTAAGGTCAAATGGTGTAGAGTTTATATCTGGGACTCTCCACCATTTGACCTTAGAACTGAAGAAGCTTCTCGGATGAGAGGTGAAACGTCTTCAAGTAACTTAAAGAAGTCCAGACGCTTTTCTTTGCAAGCTCCTAGGACCCAATATACTCGCTACATTGGTCATGTTGCCATTCATCGAGCACTGAGAGCAAAAGTACTGTTCCAGAAAGCTGAATCTTATCAAACTGTTGCAGACTCTGTGCGCTATATAAATAAGATTTAATTGAACTGATATATCATCACAATGGAGGTAATACACTGTATTTGTAGTATTTCAGTAGCAGTTTACTCAAACGCAACTTATTGAATGAGATTCTAGGAAACAATCAAATTTATATGTTGCCTCCTAAACTCCTGGAAGAGGATTCAAGCATTAGGACAACACACACACACGAAGGATGGGGTCTGAGAGAGATTTTTTGACATGAAGAACAACAACAACACACAAAGACGTACTGTCTTCAGGCAGGTCATTCTCCCGCTGGTCGAGTTCCATCTGTCGACACCAGCCGTCCATGCGGTCGGTTTCAGCCTGCAGCAGCTTCAGAAACCACCGTCCATCTCTCTGGCAAACTGATCTCTGCACCACCTGCCATTTAAATAATGAAACTATCACTACAGAAAACTGCATACTGTACTTTCTACAGGGTCGATAAGTTAGTTGTAATTCACGTCACAATAATTTAGCCTTGGCCATGAGGAAACTCCTGAGACCCAAGCTGCCCCCATCTGTATGTGCACGATAGAGAAAGTTTTAATGTGCTATGTTAAATAAATATATAACATATAAAATCAGAGAAAGTGCATCTACATACATACACAAATAAATACGCGAACAATAATAATTTCCCACTTGCCCAGTTTGGGGGTCAAGTGCTAAGATTACCACGGGGACTCCAGTTGCCTTGACCCGCCACATCTTCTCTAGCTTTTCTCTCTGCCCTTGGTATTTGGTAGCGAGCTTCTCAGGATCCTTCTTCCTAATGCTATCACTTAGGATACAACTATCACTATGGCCATCTTCCTCTGCTTGTCCACTACCACTATGTCAGATGGCTAACCCATCACCAGTTTGTCCATCCGTATCTAGAAGTCCCACAGGACTCGGTTATTCTCAACCACCCTGGGAGACGTCTCCCATTTTTGCCTCAGGACTTCCAGGCCATACTCGACACAGATGTTTCTGTATAATATCCAAGCCACGTGGTTATGGTGTTACATGTATGCCTTGCCTGCTAGAATCTTGCCGTTATGTGCTGGATTGTGTCAGGGTCTTTGCACAGCTAGCACCTAGGGTCTTGCCTGGTGTGGCAGACCCCAGCCTCTACACTTATAGGTTGTTGCTGTTTTACCAGGGTGTCTTTGTCCAGGAATTAGTAGGATATTTTATATCAACCACTTCTACCTGCTGGTGGTACATGCCATGCAGGGACCAGTCCTTCCATGATGATGTTTCTTGCGTTGATCTGGTGGTTGAGCTTTCCTAGTGGCCTCTTGTGGGATTCCTGGGTACTTGTAGCTGTCCTCAATGACTGCACTGTTGCCTTCTGGTAGTGTAATCTGACTACTTTCCCTCTTTTTGTTACACCTGACTCTACTTCTCCAAGCCGAATGACTGTGTGAATGTCCAGTGTTGTTTCGGTTGATCCTAATGGTGTGTACCTGTAAATCAGTGTGTCATTTGCTGTTGTTTTGATTTGCCAGCTGGTTGCTTGTGGATTTTCCAGGCTCCAGTTGCCTTGATGGCTCTGTAATAGAGAGGCCGGCACTGGAAAGCAGGATTTTAGCTTATCAAAGTACCTTCAAACTTAACCCTGGCTTTTCTGCGAAGGTGGCTCACTTCTCACTCGGGGTAAATTGCCATGGTAACTTATGCTGTGTTTAGAGATTAGAGATCGACAGGTATGAAATAGCTGCCTACTGACCAATCAGTACTTCATAATAAAGAATACATTCACCATTTGTGGAAGCTCTTCTGTGGGGAGAGTAGGACAGTTTAAAAGTTTTTCAGTATGCTTTGTGTTTCCCAGATAAACATCAATAATAAATATAGATTCTTAGCTGTAACCTTTGCCACAACAACAGTCGCCTTGAGGCGTTGTGATTTAGTGTGGTATAAATAAAACTGAATTGAATACTTGATTGTAATCTGCTGTTGAATCTTGCTGGAAACAGAACAAAGACCACAGATTCCTGTTTAATCAAATTAACTTTACTGTGTCTCCTTGATTAGTAGGGGTAGGGGAAAAAATCGATACTATGTAGTATGGTGATATTTTGTTTGCTAATAATGTATGGATACAGGGACAGCAGAAATCGATATTTTGTTACAAAAAAGGGTTTTTTGGACTGGAACATGCTCTTCTGAACAACAATCCTGACATTCCTTCACTGTCCAAATGTGTTTAATAAACATGACAGTTTACTTATTTTAATTTAAGACATGTTTTATTTGAATTAAGTTTAAAACTTTTTTATTTAATGTAAAATTATATTTTGTTTTAATTTACATTCAAATTCTTCAGTTGCTGAAGGGGCTGCATAGTTTTCATAAACTGCATAGTTCAGAATAGCTATAATTGTACCAGATGGTTGATTCAGTTAAGTTGGACTAGACTGTAATACAAACCGTTCAGTTTGTCAACAATAAAACTGAAATGAGAGAAAGACTGAGTGTGAGACTTTGATATTAGAGAAAATGAATATTGATAAAGTTTACCTTTATGTACAGAATCTGAATATCGCAAAATATTTTAAAAAATTGCAATAATATCGTATCGTGCGTTAAGTATTGTGATAATATCGTATCGTGGGATGTATGGTGATTCCCACCTCTATTGATTAGGCTGTGGGAAAGTAAGCTCCATCCATCCATCTCTTCTGCGCAGGGTGAGGTGTGGGGTACACCCTGGACAGCTTGCCAGACTGTCACCTAGCCAAGTGACAGTAAGCTTTAATGTTTAAATGGATTCAATTGATGGATTCTTATCTTAATAAAGGTTATCTTAATTCAATTCAATTTTATTTATAAAGTGCCAAATCACAACAACAGTCGTCTCAAGGCGCTTTATATTGTAAGGTAGACCGTACAATAATACATACAGAGAAAAACCCAACAATCATATGACCCCCTATGATCAAGCACTTTGGCGACAGCGGGGAGGAAACATTTTATTTTAACAACAAGAAGCATCCAGCAGAGCCCGGCACAGGGAGGGGCGGCCATCTGCCAATCAAGTTTAAAGTTTCAAAACTCTAATTTGCAGCAGTCTCCTTAGATTGAAACAGCACCACTGTGAGTCTCAGTCTGAGCCAGAAAATACTGAAGTTTAATAAAAATATTAATTTTATCGATCTGTGTGTTAAATCAACAGATTAAACATGAATAAATTATTCATTCTATTCAATCTAAAAGACTCAAATTAGGCTTAAAACTTCCCTTTTTGATAGAGCATAGAGTTACGGTGCAATAGGTGTAGGCTGCTCAGGGTTTCCCATGATGCACTGAGTATTTCTTCTTTGCTCAACTTTTTTAACTCACTATGTGTTTGCACACAATTCTGTGTTTAATCATTAGTTATTATTAATCTCTTGCTCTCTTCCACAGCATGTCTTTGTCCTGTCTTCCTCCCCTGATGCCATAGAGAAAGAAAAAGATTTATCAAAGGATCTGTGGGAGAAGATAACTTGAACTTTATAAAACAGGAAAAGAACATAAAAATGTATCCAGACAATTGTAGTGTTCAAACTCTAATTAAGAAGTAGAATTATGGTGAAACCAAGCCACGGACAGGTACACCAACAAAAGCTTCAGCCAAAACTGCCAGACAATTGTTCAGGATGCCAAGAAAAACCCACAAATAACCACAGCGGACATACAGGACTCGCTGAACTTGAAGAACACTGGTCCCCGGAAGAAAACCACAACTGCACTAATGCCCCAAAGCAGCCTATTTACAATATGCTAAATAACTCGGAAGCAAGCCTCATTACCGAAATGGATTACTTACATTGGGGACTTGGGGATGTATGAGCTACACAGGCACAGGGAACCTGTCCAAAATTGATTTCAAGATTAATCCAGCATGTTATCAGAAAATACTGGAGGGAAATTTGCACTCCTCAGCCTGCAAGCTGTCAATGGGATGCACATGTACATTCCAACATGACAATAATCCAAAACACAAGACCAAATCCACCTTTAATTTCTTACAGGACAAAAAGTAAATATTCTAGAGTCGCCATCCCAGTCTCCTGATTACAATGTCATTGAGCCACTTTTGGGATATCTCAAACATACAGGTCATGTAAGACAGCCCAAGGATTTACAGGACCTGGAGGCAGCTTTACCATCTACAAAAAAAAAATGCATCATCCACAACAACCACAAAATACTTCAAGCAGTCATTGACGTTAAAGGAGGCAATACACACTATTGAGAAACAGGGTATGTAAACTTTTGATCAGGGTCATTGGGGTAGTTGGGTAGGTTTTTGATAATGGTATCACCCAACCACTAACCATTAGTGAAAGAAAAGCTTTTGTATTAGCATCCGTATTCTCTAGAGCAGGGGTCGGCAACCCTGGGCACGCGTGCCAGCTAAGGGTTAACTGATGGCACGACGATAGCTGGACTGGCCATCGGGCATTGTTCAGTTGTTTGGTGGTGACTATGGCAGAGCTTCCACAGAGGCCAGCAGGTGGATGAGAGAAAGGGGAGGCAGGAGGAGCAGAGACCCGAGGCGTCCGAGTGTCAGGTGAGCTGAACTTCAGGTAAGAAGTTATGACCTGCAGTCTATCTG